TAATTGATCTGCTGTGGTGATTCTACAGTTGCTATGGTAACACAACAACTACAGTAATTGATCTGCTGTGGTGATTCTACAGTTGCTATGGTAACACAGCAACTACAGTAATTGATCTGTTGTGGTGATTCTACAGTTGCTATGGTAACACAGCAACTACAATAATTGATCTGTTGTGGTGATTCTACAGTTGCTATGGTAACACAACAACTACAGTAATTGATCTGCTGTGTTGATTCTGCAGGTGCTATGGTAACAACTACGGTAATTAATCTGTTGCGGTGATTCTACAGTTGCTATGGTAACACAACAACTACAGTAATTAATCTGTTGTGGTGATTCTACAGTTGCTATGGTAACACAACAACTACGGTAATTAATCTGTTGTGGTGATTCTACAGTTGCTATGGTAACACAACAACTACAGTAATTGATCTCCTGTGGTGATTCTACAGTTGCTATGGTAACACAACAACTACAGTAATTGATCTGCTGTGGTGATTCTACAGTTGCTATGGTAACACAACAACTACTGTAATTGATCTGCTGTGGTGATTCTACAGTTGCTATGGTAACACAACAACTACAGTAATTGATCTGTTGTGGTGATTCTACAGTTGCTATGGTAACACAACTACTACAGTAATTGATCTGCCGTGGTGATTCTACAGTTGCTATGGTAACACAACAACTACAGTAATTGATCTGATGTGGTGATTCTATAGTTGCTATGGTAACACAACAACTACTGTAATTGATCTGTTGTGGTGATTCTACAGTTGCTATGGTAACACAACAACTACAGTAATTTATCTGCTGTGGTGATTCTACAGTTGCTATGGTAACACAACAACTACTGTAATTGATCTGCTGTGGTGATTCTACAGTTGCTATGGTAACACAGCAACTACAGTAATTTATCTGCTGTGGTGATTCTACAGTTGCTATGGTAACACAACAACTACTGTAATTGATCTGCTGTGGTGATTCTACAGTTGCTATGGTAACACAACAACTACTGTAATTGATCTGCTGTGGTGATTCTACAGTTGCTATGGTAACACAACAACTACAGTAATTGATCTGTTGTGGTGATTCTACAGTTGCTATGGTAACACAACTACTACAGTAATTGATCTGCCGTGGTAATTCTACAGTTGCTATGGTAACACAACAACTACAGTAAATGATCTGCTGTGGTGATTCTACAGTTGCTATGGTAACACAACAACTACAGTAATTGATCTGCTGTGGGGATTCTACAGTTGCTATGGTAACACAACAACTAAAGTAATTGATCTGCCGTGGTGATTCTACAGTTGCTATGGTAACACAACAACTACTGTAATTGATCTGTTGTGGTGATTCTACATTTGCTATGGTAACACAACAACTACAGTAATATGTTTTAAACAGTTTTCTTCAACTATAGGGTATAATAAATATAACACACCACAGTTTACTGTAGTAAAAACTGAAGTATAATACAGCATTTACTACAGTTGATCAGTTCACTATAGTCAACACTACAGTATGCTGGAGCATTCATTAACAAAGGGCTGTAAATTCCTGTAATATTTACAGTAGAATACTCTAAATTACTAAAGTATTTTTTGTGTGTGTGTGTGTGTAGTCTAAACGCTGGACTCATGTCTCCTGCTTTTCTGTTTGACTGAAGGTGATCACCCAAACATGACCTCATTTTAACAGTAGGTCAAGCTTCAGTCGAGTCTGAGCCCCGTCGGTTGTTTCCATTGAGTTGGTCAATCATTGAGCTGTAACTGTTTTGTCAGTGATTGAGCAAAGTGAACCGAAGAGGACGCCAGTGAGCAGATGAAACGCAGATCACCCAAAAATGAAAATTCTGTCATCGTTTACTCTCCCTTTGACTTGTTGCAAAATATTGTGCGATTTTTATCTTCTTTTTGACCCAAAAAAAAGATATTCTGAAGAATGCTAAAAACCTGTAACCACTGACTTATATTATTATAGTATTTGTTTTTTCCCTACTATAGAAGTCAATAGTTATCAGTTTTTTTTAGAAATATCTTGAAAAAAATTATATATATATATATATATATATATATATATATATATATATATATATACACACAACATTTCTGTCTGGTTCTTGAATCTGATTGGTAATATCAGCACCCGTACAGCCTCTTTACCCTTTTTGTATTACTCCGCACACATACAACCAGCAAAAAGCAGACACTACAGATCTAAAGTTTGAAAGATGCTTGCTCAGCTGTTTAACTGTCAGCTTATGATTTGAATCCAAGGCGGAAGAAATTAGTTCCTCATACAAAAGGGTTTTTGAGACTCTCCATGTTTGATTTTGTTTTTATATATACAATTATGTCGTCAAACTGTTGTATAAACGCAATGTGGCCTCGTGCCAATGCACGCCTCCCACAAGTGCTGATTTACAGCCTTATCGCACTGCTACTAGTGTGATATTGCTCATATATATATATATATATATATATATATATATATATATATATATATATATATATATATATATATATATATATATTTATATATTTATATATATATATATAGTAATAATTGAGTCAATTTTCATTTTGGGCTGAGCTGGTGATATGGTGTGGCATTATATCATTTATTTTCTTTTCTTTTTTCAGCTTAGTCCCTTTATTAATCTGGGGGCTACAGCGTCCACTTATCCAGAATATGTTTTAAGCAGTGGATGCCCTTCCAGCTGCAACCCATCTCTGAGAAACATCCACACACTCTCATTCACACACACACACATTACAGACAATTTAGCCTACCCAATTCACCTGTACCACATGTGTTTGGACTGTGGGGGAAACCGGAGCACCGAGAGGAAACCCACGCGAACACAGGGAGAACATGCAAACTCCACACAGAAATGTCAACTGGCCCAGCCGAGGCTTGAACCAGCAACCTTCTTGCTGTGAGGCGACTGCACCACTACGTTGCCCGGCATTATATTATAATAACGCCAATTGTCTTAAAAAACAACAAAAGAAAACATGTTCAATAGTACTAACAAAAAATCAAAATTACTAGAGTAATATCAATATAGAATAATCAAAATAACAGAACTTGTATTTTGATGTCTGAAATGAACTTGAAATATTCAAAGCTTCAAAAAAAAGCTTCAATTTTAACTTTAAACATGTCACATGCATTTTTGCACTTTAATTAAAATTTTATATATTAACAGTTGAATTCAAAATAATTCGTCCCCGTTTATTTTTTACCCAATTTCTGTTTAACGGAGAGTAGATTTGTTCAACACATTTCTAATCATAATAGTGTTAATAACTCATCTCTAATAACTGATTTATTTTATCTTTGTCATGATGACAGTAAATAATATTAGACTAGATATTCTTCAAGACACTTCTATACAGCTTAAAGTGACATTTAAAGGCTTCACTAGGTTAATTAGGTTAACTAGGCAGGTTAGGGTAATTAGGCAAGTCATTCTATAATTGATGGTTTGTTCTGAAGACTATCGAAAAGAAATGGCCTAATGGAGCTAATAATATTGACCTTAAAATGGTGTTTAAAAAATTAAAACTGCTTTTATTCTAGCTGAAATAAAACAAATAAGACTTTCTTCAGAAGAAAAAATATTATCAGACATACGGTGAAAATGTCCTTGTTAAACATAATTTGGGAAAAATTCAAAAATAAAAAATTCAAAGATGGGCTATATCTATCTATCTATTTATCTATCTATCTATCTATCTATCTATCTATCTATCTATCTATCTATCTATCTGTCTGTCTGTCTGTCTGTCTGTCTGTCTGTCTGTCTGTCTGTCTGTCTGTCTGTCTGTCTGTCTGTCTATCTATCTATCTATCTATCTATCTATCTATCTATCTATCTGTCTATCTGTCTGTCTGTCTGTCTGTCTGTCTGTCTGTCTGTCTGTCTGTGTGATTGTGTGTGTGTGTGTGTGTGTGTGTGTGTGTGTGTGTGTGTGTGTGTGTGTGTGTGTGTTTGTGTCAGCAGGGGGCGCTGTAAGTCACATTACCACCGGAAATACAGAGACACAACCAGTTTAACTCAACACTTTCACTACTGTAGAGGAAACCGCAGGAAACTCAATAACAGCAAACCTGAAACTGTGTAGAAACGTGTGTGCCAGCGGACAAACAAACACACCAAACGTCAAACGTCGATTAATATTCTCTGAGGAACTCATTTGCAATTTTAAGTCGTAAATATTAGATTTTTGTGATGTCTACACTAGACAAGACATGTCACCATATATTATAGACTACAATTTAATAAATAAAATAATAAATAATAAATAAATAAACTGAAACAAATTGTAGCTTTTTTGCTATAAGCAAATATTTTTAAATGTCAAAATGAAACTTAGCCAGCTAATTTAGCGTAGTGCAGCTAAGTGTTGTATTTTAGTTAACTTTCTGAAAGTAAAATAATTAAAATAGAAATTTAGTTGTACATTATTATTTATTTCTGCAGTGTGTATTGTTGTTATGTTCAGGTGTGAAATTGTAAATATTTTATTTACTTTTTTATTCATTTCATTATGTATTTATTTATGTATTTATTTATTTGTTGGAGCGATATTAATATATTTAAAAAGTTTTGAAGCGAAACAACTTGAACAAACGAACAGTTTTAATTTATTCTGCAGTTTCTCTATATTGTAATGTCAAATACAAAATTAAGCACAGCTCAAGTTTAGAGATGTTACCCTTCCCGATAGTTAGCTAAAATTAATGAAATATAAACGAGTTGTCCATTATCATTTCCCGCATGTGTTATCATGTTGTTGTTATGATCGGCTGTGAAATATAAAGTAGGTGAGAGGTCAAATCATGTGTGTCTTTAACCGTATGACGCGCTTAGGATTGCTACGTGAATTCCGTGCACTCCGAAACGCCTCCTTCACCCGCGTGACCATATTCCGCGCATTTGATTGGTCGAAGCGGACCCCTCCCCAGGGCGTCCAGTGTTGCAGAGAAACCACATGTACATATTCATCACAAACACACAGCAGAGATCATGTAGCCTACAGTATATACTTCTGTATCCAAGTATAATGCTTATCAGTATTGCAACTGTCTTTCGCTTTGAAGGAAGGAGCCTCGTTATATGCTCGTGCACTGACTCATCTTGAGTCATTTAGCGTGTAAATCTGTATATATTTAACTGTTTTATTAGATTTATGTTTTTAAAATATTGCCGGACAGAGGAGATGGATATAAAGGCTCGTGTAGCAGCAGAGAGAAATGTGCTGTGCTTGTTTGATGTGGACGGAACGCTGACAGCCCCCAGAGAGGTAAACACACACACACACACACACGCGTACACGACTTCATATAGGATCCGCTTTTTATGCACGCGAGGTTATTAAGCGTTATAAGTGATGCAGTTAAAGGATGGACGATGCGCCATCGTAGCTTTAGGATTTACAGTCATTATGTAACAACATCTCAATCTGCAGCACTGCTCCGTGTGTAGGTGAAGCGCGTGCGTGTGTATATATGTGTGCGCGCGCGCGTGTGTGTTATCAATGAATGAGCGTGTTTATGTATGTGTTTGTACACTATGTTTCGCTCGTTCTGCACGTATACACCAGCTAATGGATACACATAATGCTATGCAAATAATAGTGCTAGCTAATACTTTTAATAGGATGAAAAATACCGTTACGATTTGAAGGTTAACGGTAACTCGATTTGAAACGTTACATTGCGTCACGTGTTTATTTAAAAATATGGAACGTTTGGCGCGTTGTGTTGCAATATAACGGTCAAACCCATATCTGCACATGCTGTTCTGCTCGTGTGTTTATTTTCATTCAGATGAGTTCAGTGTTCTCTGATGTTACATCATCAGTCCTGTCCTCTGCTCTCTGTGTGCTCTTCTCTTTAATTTGCACCCATAGACGTCATTGAGGTAAAGTTGGTTTAATATTCGCACATTCAGGCTTTCATTTTAATAATATTATTTCGGAAAAGTATACTTGGCTAACTCTAAATAGAGAAATAATATTAGCAGCCAATGGCTGTCACAGTACAACATTGTTTACAGTCAATTAAATGGAGCTAATGTTGGTTTGAAGTCATACATGGGATTAGACCTAATGTTGAAAGTACCATGGTAAACAAATTGAGGTAAAGTTGCTATTATGTTCACACATTAAGACTTCCTCAGTAATATTTCAGAAAATTATTCTTTTTAAACTCTGAATAGAGAAATCATATTAGCAGCCAATGGCTGTCAAAGTACAGTCAATTAAATTGTGCTAATGTTGGTTTGAAGTCATATTTATATTTGATTTCAGACCCAATATTCAGTAAAATACAAGTATCTTGGTAAACAATATAGGGAGTGTGTCAGAAGTTGCCACGGAATGAATGTGTGAATTCAAAACCAACTTTACCTCAATAACATCAGCGAATAGCCTACAGAAAGTTAGACCGTCACCCAAAATGAAACCATTAACGAAGTATTTGAAATCTCTTGCCATTTATTTGATTAACCAACGCTTTTTTTTTGTTTAAAGTCTGTGTGAAATTCAAATGCACAGTGTTTATTTTGCTAGCGCGCATTGTTATTCATTCGGTGAACAATTAATATGCTAATCCACTCAATGATTAGTTTGTTTTGGTCATATTCATTCAAATCCTGACCATTTGCTACTGCTTTGGGAGTGTCTTCTCCTCTGACGACGTCAGTTAAGCAGCGATATTCATAGCCACGCCCTTTTTACTGTTAGTTTGCTATGAGTAAATGATGCGCAAAAGAAACCCCCTACTTAATATTCTGTTTTCGTTAGTAGTATTTCAAGTGCTGTTTGTCTCCTTTTCTTTTTAATTTGACCCTGTAAACGTCATTGAGGTAAAGTTGGTTTTATATTCACACATTCAGACTGTCTATTTATTAAAATTATTTCGGAAAATTATTCTTTGTAAACTATAAATAGGCAAATCATATTAACAGCCAATGACTATCACAGTACAATATTGGGAGCGTGTCAGAAGTTGTCACCGAATGAATGTGTGAATATAAAACCAACTTTACCTCAATGTAAACGTCAGTGAATAGCCTACAAGCTAGACCGTCACACAGACTGTTGCTAAAACCAAAAACGATGTATTTGAAATCTCTTGGCATTTATTTAATTAACCAACACCTTTTTTTTGTTTAAAGTCAGTGTGAAATCCAAATGCACAGTGTTTATTTTGCTAGCGCACATTGTTATTCATTCGCTGAACAATTAATATGCTAATCCACTCAATGATTTGTTTTTTTTGGTAATCTCCAATCAAATCCTGACCATTTGCTTCTGCTTTCGAATTGTCGTCTCCTCTGACGACGAAAGTTAAGCAACAATATTGCAAACCGCGCCACTTTTAAGGGTGGTTTATACTTCTGGTCGAGTGATTGCTGTGACCCACGGCGCATGCCTTGCATGTAGTCGTGCATACTTCTGCGTGCTGTTTGTGTTGCTCTGCAATGACACTTCTTAAACATTAGCTGGCAGTAGGTTTAATGTTCAAGTTTCTTTGCAGGTGTTTTGTTTTTTTCTGAACGTCACAGCCAGATCTGATCTCTTAGGCGTTATTTCAATGACTAATGTCATGAGCGCAAGTTGGGAGCGAGTACAAGTGTGAGAACTTCAATTTCCTCCGTTCATGCTTAAAACGTATTGCGCGCTCAAATGTACACCGCTGATTTATTTTCACTTTTTTTTATAAGATGGCACTTATAGTGTGACAAGTGTTGGTGAAAGATGCTAAAACTGATGCATTACAGTCTTGCTAAACCACAGTAAATGTGTTACTTAATTAAATCAAGCATTATTGCTGTTATTTTTGTTGCATTGCTTTTTAAAAATTCAAAGCTTTTAAATCATACAGAAAGAGTTTTATATTTTTGCGGAAAGTAAAATTATATAGTGTTCAGGGATAGGAAATAGAAAATATTCAGTTTATAATAAGTAAATAAATACATTTGTGCAGTTTAAAAACTATGGAAACCAGTGTAATGTCCCCACAGTTCACAAAAACAAACCTGTGTGTGTGTGTGTGCAGAAGATCGACCCAGAGCTGGATGATTTCATTCAGGCGCTGAAGCAGAAGGTGAAGATCGGCGTCGTTGGAGGATCCGATTATTGTAAGATCGCAGAGCAGCTCGGAGACGGAGATGAAGGTCAGACTGGATTCGTTTTTTTTTAATATTCATCATGATTCGACCTCAGGCAGGACAGTGGCTCAGTGGTTAGCACTGTCGCCTCACAGCAAGATTTGAGTGTAAGTTCCAGCTGGGTCAGTTGTCATTTCTGTGTGGAGTTTGCATGTTCTCGCTTGTGTTGGCGTGGGTTTCCTCCGGGTGCTCCAGTTTCCCCCACAGTCTAAACTCATGCACTATAGGGGAATTGATTAACTGTGAATGAGTATGTGTATGGGTGTTTCCCAGTACTGGGTTGCAGCTAAAAAGGCATCCAATTTGTTAAACATATGCTGGATAAGTTGGCGGTTCATTCCTCTATGGCGACCCCTATTGAGTAAACGCACTAAGCCGAAGGAAACTGAAATGAAATGACAGACCTCTAGTTTGTAGGATCAGTAGCTTCTCATGTCTGGACGTTGTGGCAGAATGTGGAGAAACTGGTTGGACTGTTGTGCTCAAACATTGACATTGTGATGTGAATACATGCAGCAGTTACTCAGTACACACACTTTCAGCTTTTAATTTAATCAAGCCGCTCTGTAGTGCCCCGTTCACACTTTACCTCCCTCTCATTTACTTTCAATGCAGTGATTGGGTTAGTCCATAGTTGACCACACATTCTGTTATTTTCTTTTCGGCTTAGTCCCTTTATTAATCTGGAGTCGCCACAGCGGAATGAACCGCCAACTTATCCAGCACATGTTTTATGCAGCAGATACCCGTCCATCTGCAACCCATCACTTCCATTGAATTGACCAAACATTGTGTGCGAATTATACATTGACTTATCAACTCAACTAATTTAGCTACAAAACAAACTGAGATTAACTTTGCATTCCTGCACCAATAAAAGGGTTATATCTTAGATTATACTTATTATTTTACTGTTTAACTTCCATATTCGAGCATTAGGTGTGTGTTAAAACTATGCATCTAATAGTACTTTACCTAAGGCTAAATGTAGATACAAACACTAATGCATTTCTTTTAAACACTTATTTCATCTTATTGGTACTCTAGTTCAGCTGGTTTCAGACTACGTATTTTGAATGTTTGAAAAAATATGATTATATATGAATATATTATTATGATTATATAAAAATAATAATATTAATAATATAATATTAATAAAATATAATAATAACATAATATTAATAATGTATAATAATAATATAATATTACCAATATATAATAATATATTAATATAATAATAATAATAATAATAATAATATATTAATAATATAATAATATATAATAATATGTTAATATATAATAATAATAATATAATAATAATATAATATTACCAATATATAATAATATATTAATATAATAATAATAATAATAATAATATATTAATAATATAATAATATATAATAATATGTTAATATATAATAATAATAATATAATAATAACATATAATATTAACAATATAATAATAATAATAATAATAACAATAATAATATATTATTAAAATATAATAATATATTAATATGATAATAATGTATTAATAATGTATAATAATAATATATAATAATATGTTAATATACAATAATATATAATATTAACAATATAATAATAATAATAATAATAATCATAGCAATAATAATATATTACTAAAATATAATAATATATAATAATAATAAAAATAATATAATATTAACAATATAATAATAACAATAGTAATATTTTAATAATATTTAATAAAATATTAATTTATAATAACAATGACAATAATATATATTATTATTATTATATTATTGTTATTCATACAAAATATTATTGAATATTTTCTATAGACTGTATTTTCTTTCTACTGTAGACTGCTTGGCGTGATTATGATATGATCCATTATAGGGTTGGCTAAATCTAGATTTATATTACCTATTATTATTTCATTATTTAGAAATCTTTTTATTTTAGATACAGATCAGAGGAAACTATTTCTCACTATTTAAAGTGCATACATCTGGTCACTTGCATCTTTTTTTAACATCCTTCAGCAGTGATCATTTGGTAATTAGGGTTGTCAGTCTCCCCTGTAATCAGCATCCTGGTAACTTTTTGAGAACCAAACCTCTTAATCTGTTCATTATTTAACTTTAAAGGGCACCTATTATGCAAAAAATCACTTTATAAGGTGTTTAAACTCAGTTGTGTGTCAGCAGTGTGTGAATATATCCAGCCTCTAATGATTAACATTAATTAATTCTATATTTTTTTTAATTACACACTTGATGAAAACACTTTGAGTGACATTCTCCCTTTGTACGTGTCATCAGAGGGGGAAAGCCCCGCCCACTAGTGCCCATCTCTCCCTCATTAGCATAAGCAGCAGCCCAGAGTGAGAAGCAGCCGTCTGTCCATTAGCCATTAGAGTGTTTGAGCTGCTGAAGAGAAAGTCAGCATAGACTAAGAGGATTATAGATGTGGAGTTTTAGATGAAGCACAAATCAACAGCGACAGGATTCTGCATAGACTGACTCAAGCATGAAGCACACACTGACACATTTTCACACACACAGATAACTGTATTCTTGTTTTTGAATCTGCCACTATGCTGACGCACAGGCATTTGTAGCTCCGCCCTCTTCTGAAAAAGAGCACAATCTCATTTGCATTTAAAGCGACAGCGCCACAATCAGGCCCAAAGCCTCAAAGGTTCAGGTTTAGAGAGTTAGATAACATTATTAGTGTGCTATTTTGAGATGTAACTTCACACACACACACTCTAGGCACATCAGAGACGTACTTTACATCTGAAATAAAGGGGTATAATAGGTCACCTTTAAATAACAGAGGTGTCACTTTAAGACTGAATGCGCAGACACACATTCATATGCTTTCTAAACTGTCTATGCTCATTTCAGACAGTTAGCTGTGTATGAAACACATACTTTTTTTTTTAGATATTTTGATTGTGTATTTGTTTAGACACACACCCAGTTAGCTGACATCTTGTAGTCTGTCACATGCTTTACTTGAACAGCAGAAAGCATTTACATTATGTTCAGTGGGAAGATTAAAAACAGATGAGTAATACGTGAAAGTATTTGATCAGGAGTGTGAATGAGCTTGTTTTGTTTGCGTGAGTGTGTGTGTGTGGTGTGTGTTGTGTAATACAGGTAAAGGTCATGATGATGATAAGGTGTGTGATTAAGTGTTTTGATCGCACACTGATTGTGTTGTTTTGTTGCAGTGATACAGAAGTTTGATTATGTCTTCGCTGAGAACGGGACGGTGCAATATAAAGACGGCAAACTCATCTTTAAACAGGTGATTCACTCCGTCATAATCGCATTAGATATATCAAATCCCAGATTAGAAATGTTTAAACTAGCAAAGTAGGCCTCAAATGTGTATGAATTTACAATCCACGGGTCCATTCTTCACACCTCGCTTAAATGATCTAAGATGATTTGGCAGATCCTGGATCTTTTAATCTTGATAACTGATCTCTCGCTAATTTGGTTCTTCAAACAACTTCGCGAATCAGATTAGAATGTCTGGATAAACTGATCTGAGATCGCTGCGTGTGTTGTGAAGGACAGATCTACCCATCCTCGAAATCATGATCAGCTATGCAACGATTGGCTGGCGGCACAGCAGCGTAATGACATCATCTGATCAATATTCAATTATCCATGTGAGCAAAATTACATCAAATTAGCAGTAAACGGCTTGTTAAATATGACACGCAATAACCTTCCACATTTGTTGTGAGCTGCAGGCTTTACTCTTTCATGTGTCAAGAGTATTCATCATGTATTTCAATGCAAATCAATGTATTTAGTTCTACATTTAGAAAATATTGTCTGTATTATAGTAGCCGTTTTTTTAATCCGTGTAAAGAATAACTGGTTGTTTACAAAAGCATTTTGATATTGGTAAAGGCGTCTGCAACTTTTGTGAAGCATCAAATCACCGGCATATTAACTATCAAAACATGTTCATGACTGCATAAATGTATTATTGCTTTAAAAAGTCACATATTGTGCATTTCTATTATACACTATTTGTACTAAAGCGATCTAAAAAGTTCATATCAATAAGTTTTCTCTTTGCACCACCAGGTGGCAGTCTTTGTACTTTCATTTCGAGGGTGCAGATTGCATAAGTTTTATTAATATATATATAACTTTATTTATTTTATTAATGACTATAACTTTATATATATTTAAAAAATATTTACTCTTTTCCCAAGTGTATATAACTACTACTGTAAGAAAATATCAGAATTCAGAACATACTTTCTCTATTATCTTTTCTTGAACTGAGCCGATCTAATCCTGTTTATATGAATTGAACCTGCTCCCGGTCAGGTTTAAGCTAGCAGAACTGTTGCCATGACAACAACTCTCGGATCAGCTTTGAAGAACGAAACGATCCTGGATCGTGTCAAATCGTCAATATCCAAATCCAGCTAACTGAGTAATCCACGTATGAAGAACGGACCCCTGTGCTGTATTTATATTATTCACTGCTTATATTTTACAATGTGTGACTATATATGATTTTATTGTAGATTTCTGTGCTGTATTTATATTATTTACTATTCATATTTTAAGAAGTGTGACTATAATATTAAAATTTGACATTATTTATTTAATATTTAATTATATTTTATGTTTGATTACATGTGATTTAGATTATTGTGCTCTATATTATTTACTGTTTATATTTTCCTTTTTATAATTGACTATATGTGTGGCTATATATGATTCTAGAGTGTTGTGCTCTATTAATAATTTAAATGACTCTTTATGTTACTGCTATGTGTGACTAAATAAAATATTTAACTTCATATATAATTGACTGTTTATGTTTTACTGTGTGACCGTATGTAATTGTAGATGCTTGTATGTCTGGTGCTGTTATAAATGTGCACTTATTTAGTTTTTGAGGACATTAATTGCCATCCATCTGTGTTTGTCAGGCCATTCAAAATCACCTGGGCGAGGAGCTGCTGCAGGAGCTCATCAACTTCTGTCTCAGCTATATGGGGCTCATCAAACTGCCCAAGAAACGGTAACCCACACACACACACACACACACACACACTTTTACAATATACAGACACGCTTACAAACAAATTTAACATACACGCAAACAAACACACACACAAACACCAACACATTTATACTTACACTTACAAACACACACATAAACACACACATTCACACACACAAACTCACACAGGCGTCAGATAAAGAATTTGCATGAGTATGTTACATGCAAAGTCAATTCAAACATGTGAAAAACCATTGTGCGGTACAAATGACGTAAAATGGGTGATGTATTTTTTGCGAACACACACACACACAATTCACCCAATACCGCGCAAGTTAAAAAATATTTAACTTGAGTGGAAAATTTGTGTGAGATGAAAAAAAATCACACAAGTAAACAAGAGCTAGTGACATTAAATATAAATATATATATATATTTATCGGCATTTGGTGTGAACCCAGCATTACATCCGCATTTCAACGGGCAATTTTTTCTATTCAATGATCTCCATAAATAATGTTTTAAAGATTTAAATTCTAAAAAACATCATAATTTACCAATAAATGTCTATTTTTTGTGCTGCGTTTGAGTCTTGTCATCAGAACGCTTTGTTTTAGTGGGCGTGGCCAACTGTAATGTAGAAGTTCATGCTACTCTGATTGGCTGTCAGTAGCTATGTTTCCATCCACCTATTTTATGCGCATTTTGCAAATGCGTATAAAAAAACCAGTTGATGGAAACGCCATGATGCGCATAAATTTTGAAAATGCGCATAAAAAACATATGCGCCTAATTGGGTAGGATAAACTTTTTATTCAATAAGAAAAGATGCGCATAAACTGCGATGGAAACGCTTTTACCGCACAAACTCCAGCATGCGCATTAAAAAAGGTCATGTGATTTTGTTGAAAGAGATCATGTGATGCTTAAAATGTGTGTGAATGGACAAAACGTCAGGCTGAGCACATTATAAAACATCTGAAATGTTGTTTTGGTCATTATAAAACGCCTTACCGTTTCAGTATTAATGTTCTTATATTATTAATGACCTCCAGAATCAAGAGCGCCTGTGCTCGGCGTCTGACACCTTCAACTCACTGCGCGCTCACTGCTTGTCAAGATTGTCTTCTGAGGTGCATTCATTTATAAAAGATTGATGCAGCTTCTCCTACTGCAGGAAATGCAGTTTTTACTGTTGATATTTGGCGCCAGTTAATCAGGAAGTGACGATTTTGTTTGCTTTGACACGTTGGATGGAAACGCTGCTTCATTCGCACAACTTTTATGCGATAATCCGTTTATGCGATAATAAGTTTTGCGCATAAATTTATTCGCATTTTTGGATGGAAACATAGCTAGTTTTAGCATGTTAACAGCACTAAACAGTGCAGGAGAAGTGGGCGTTAATCTTGTGTGGAGGCGGAGCTTATCCAGACTATTACATCATAGAGCAGAACATTCCAGATTCTGCGTTTTAGTCAGACTGACCTCAATATAGGCTGATTTTAGAGGAAGCTCAAACTGCGGAGCTCTGAAACTCACAGGATGTTTTGATAACACTCATTCATTTTCTTGTCGGCTTAGTCCCTTTATTAATCAGGGGTCGCCACAGTGGAATGAACCGCCAACTCATCCAGCACGTTTTAACACAGCGGATGCCCTTCCAGCTGCAACCCATCTCTGGGAAATGTTTTGATAACTCTCATGACAAAAGATGAAGACGTTTCTTAGTTCACGACCCCTTTAAACGTTTTCACTGATCTCTGTCT